CGGCCTGCCGCTGAGCGCGGCCCCCAGGCGGCAGGCCCGGCCCGGCCCCGGAGCGAGCGCCCTCCGCGGCCCGGCTCCCCCGGGTCGGTTCCCTGCGCCCCGCCTGCGCCCCGCTGCTGCCCGGCCGGAGCATGGAGACGGCGGAGAAGGAGTGCGGCGCCCTGGGCGGGCTCTTCCAGGCCATCGTCAACGACATGAAGGTAACGGGGCGCGCGGGCGCGGGTGCGGATCCTCTCGGGGGACGCGTGGCGGCGGGCAGCAGTGCCCCGCTGTGTCCCTGCGCCGCGGGGTCTGTGTGTCCTTGTCTGAGTGTGTCCGACGTGCGTCTGCTGTTCGTCCGCGTCTCCGGGAGCGCGTCTGGAGGGTGTGGGTGCTCGTGTGTCGGGGTGTCCGTGCGGTCCCCGGGATCTATGCCCGGGGTCGTCCGGTTGCAGCCTCCCCCTGGGATCCTGACCCGAGCCTGCAAACACCCGAGCTCCCTGCGCTCCAGACCCCCAAACCATGAATGGGGTTTGGCTCAGGGGGCGACTCTATGACCCATTAACAGGTACGGGTCTCTCCGGCCTCCGCCCCCTACACCACCATGGCCTCCCCCCGCCCCCCACAACCTCCTCCTCCCCACCCCCCACCCCCAAGGCTGGCCTTGGAGCCCAGACAATGCTGTCACCGCCAAAGCAGGGAAAAATAATAAAGCTGAGAGCCGTTAACTCCTTCCCCACCGGCCTTGGCCACTGCACCCGACCCTTCGACTGCGTCCTGGGGACCGGACCCCCGCAAAAGCCCCAGGAAGCTTCAGGACTCCTAGGTCTCCAGGAGGGTCCCTGCCTCCCAAGGCCTCTGTCCTCCCCTTGGAAGAAGGAGGGGAGAAGGCTGGGGTTGTGGAGCAACACCAAGGGAGGGCCTTCCCTACCCTACTTCCACCCCAGGCCCTCAGTTCCAGACCCCTCTCCAGAACTGCCCAAGGTCAGGCTGGAGCAGGCCACCCCTTCCTGACCCATCACTGCTCACCAGGTGGGGAAACTGAGGCCTGGGAATGGCTCAAGGTCATGAGGAGACACTGTCCCTCACCTCACCCCTCATTGTTGATTTAGGAGATGAGGGGGATCCTCTCCCCCAAAGAAAGCAGGGTTTGGCGGGGCTGACTCGGGCCAATGAGGCAAAGAGAAGGTCTAGCTCCAGTGACAGGATGGGGGTCAGGAACCAGCATTCCTACCCTTCTTTTTGGGGGTGGAGAAAGAACAAGAGAGAGAGCTGGGTTCCCCATGGGAACTCCTGAGAGCCCCCACCCTCCCGGCCTATCACATACTTCCAAGTACACAACATGCAATCCCATGGGGCTATCACAGGTCCAGGAGGAAACAGTACTCACCAAGGTGCAACCTGCCCCACAGTGCCTAGGCAGGTCCTTCAGGGGGCAGGGGGTTGCAGGCAGGCCAGGGGAACAGCCCCAGGGGCAGCTGCCAGATACCTGTCCCACCAGCAGGGGCCTGAAGCTACCCTGGCCTGGGACTACAGGGTTAGCAGCATGTAGGTGTCCCCCACTGTATGGGGTGCTTCCCCTGAGACCTCCGTTTCTTATAACTCCGCCTCCAGGCCCTTCTGCCAGCCCTCAGAAACCCTGGCCTCTCTGTGCCCTCAGCGGTTGCTCCTGCCGTGTGGTGTGGACATCGTAGCCCCAGCACTAGGACCCCCTCCTGGGACCCAGCCTGGCACTAGGACCCCCTCCTGGGACCCGGCCTGGCACTAGGACCCCCTCCTGGGACCCGGCCTGGTACTAGGACCCCCTCCTGGGACCCGGCCTGGTACTAGGACCCCCTCCTGGGACCAGGGGGTCCAGACCACCCTCCCCTAGCCACTCCCACGGCAGGCTTGAGGGTGGGACCTTCCTGCACCCACCTCCCACTGACAGCCTCTCCAAAAACACTGCAAAGAGCAGCAACTTTTGCCCAGAGACAAGGGGCAGGACTGCCTCCCTTCCTCTCTAGCCAATTTGCAAGGAACTTTGGGATGAGAGAAGGAAACAGGCCCAGATTGTAGCAAGAGTTCAGGCAGGATTTTCTGACATGTGGCAGCAAAATGGGAGAAGTTTCACCTGGGGTGATGCCAAGTACCAGTATTCCCCTACCTAGGACGTATGCATGTGTTCTGGCCAGAGACAGAGCAGGGGACGGGGCCACCTGGAGGCCCATCACCTGCGTTTAGGGAGCAGCTGCTGGCTCTTTCCCTCTGTGTCCTGAGCCACGGAAGCAGCAGGGCTTCCGTAGAGGAAGGTGGCCAGGTTGAGGAGACTGAGCTTGCCCCGTGAGGTCTCTCCACAGTGTGCCAAAGGTCCCTGGCTCTTCTGGAGGCCCAGACTCTGGCCTGGGGGTTAGGGGAGAAGGCTCCTCAAGCTGCACCTGGTGCCTGGGGGCACCACTCAGGGATGGGGAGGGGTCTCTGAAGAGCATTCTCTGCCAGCTATGCCTCATTTACTCAGATGCCTACTGGGTGCCAGGCTGCTCACTGAAGCCCAGAGAGGGGCAGAGACTTGCCCGAGATGACAGGACTGGGTGCAGCACCTGGCTCTGCCTCAGCCCCCACCTGCCCAGGCAGCACCTTTTGCAGAGTGAATGAGGCCTCCACCCAGCACTGGCCCATCCAGAAAATGGGGTCATAATTTTTGCCTACTCTCAAGAGTGAGGAGTGTCACTAGACACAGAGGCAGGGACCCTGTGTCCTCTTTGTTAGCTGGCATTAACTGAGCACTTACTAGGTGCTGGCATAGTGCTAAGTGCTTTCCAGGCAGTACCTCCTCAAGTCTCTACACTGACCCCATGATGGAGGTGCCGTTCCCATCCTGATCTTCCAGGTGAGGAGGCTGAGGCTCAGAGAGGGGGCCCTGGCCCAGGGTCACCCGGAAAGCCCGCTCTCTGAGATGGTAGCCTGGGTCACTCACCTGCACAGCCCACGTCTGGACCACGACCACCCCCTGGACAGTCTCCGAGGACCAGGAGCCTCAGCAGCGTCCTCATTGGTCTTATCCCATTCGCCTGCACACCTCTAGTGACAAGCACGTCGCCTACCCCCTCCAGAGCAGCTCACTGTGCTGAGGGAGGAGCTGGGCATTGCCCCATTCCTGTAGTCCCTGCCACCTTCCTACACTGATGCCCAAATACTCGTCTCCCTGCACCCTGGAAGTGACCAGTCAGGGGATCTGACTGTGCCCCTCGGTGGCCTTGGGCAAGTCTAATTTTAAGCTGTAGCCTTAGATTCCTCATCTGTAGAATGGGGGTGATAACAGTATTCATTTTACAGGGCTGTTGGAAGAATTCAATGTCATCACACAGTGACAGGGCTCAGCACAGTGCCTGGCTCACCGCAAGCACTTGTCACTAGTGAGAACAACCCCGGGTCTTAGAGCCAGACAGCCAGGCCCTGGCCAGGGTGAGGACACTGCCCTGGGGCACTGGCTGCTGCGGCGCCTCAAATCCTTGTCTCTGGGTTCATCTATGAATTACCAGTGGAGTCCCCAGTCCTTTAGAGACCAGGAACCTTGGTCCATCTGCTGAGGAGGAACTGGGCCTGGCCTCCCCATGGGAAAGCCAGGCTGTGAAGGTCTGAAAGAGTGAGTCTGGCTTAGTCAAACCTCTCAGGTTCAGCATCAGCCCAGCAGGGAGTAGGGACATATCTCTCTCCAGCGTATCCTAGTCCCTTGCTCTGTCAGACTGCCTAGAGGCTGCTGCAGGGGCTGAGAAGGTTTCCTGAGGTCCAGGACAGCTGCCTCTGTACCCCTGTACCCCCAGCATTGTCTCTCCTCCCTGGAGGTCTCAGCAAGGCTTTGGGCTGGAGTGGTCGAGGTGATGGGAGGGTACCACCTTTCAGAAGACCCCTGGAGTGCCAAGGTGAGGGTCAGCTCCTTGGGCCTGCCAGGGATGACCTCCCAGGCCCCTTTCCCCTGAGCTGTGCCCGCATGGAGACAGCCCACCAACAGCCTCCCCCTCCAGTTCCAGCCTGTGTGAACTTCTCAAATATTTGCTTTCCCTGGTCACTATTTGGGTGGCTGGGATGGGAGGGAGTTTCTGAGGCTCCCAGAAGTTGCCCTTGTCTCCTTTCCACCCCTGCAGACTGTCCTCAGCTGGAGAGGCCATCTCGAACCTACCCGTGGGGTTCCAGCCCAGCAGAGCCTCCCTCTGAGGCCTGGGGGGCTGGGGTTTCCACCTTCCCCCTTTCCTCAGAAATAGCCCCAGCCCCCAGCACCCCATCCCACATGGAAGGGAGGGTTGGAGGCCCCTTGGGGCTGAGGCTTTGTTAGCCCAGGGCTTCCCTTTAAGGATCGAGGCCTCCAAAAGGGCCCTTGGGCAAGGGCTGAGGTTTCTCCAGGACCCAGCAGCTGTGGTAGGGCACATTAGCCGGAAAAGCCCCTTGATCAGACTGGACAACTCGGTCGCCAAAAGCTGGCCTCACTACTGGGAAACCCCCTCCCAACTTGGAGCGTTGGGCCAGGCTGGGATAAAGGCCACACTGTGTCCCCAGGAGGGGAGGGGAGCCGGGGGTGGAGAAAGGTGGCTCTGTTGGTCGCACAAGGCCCCATTCAGCCTGGGGCCTGGCTGTCCTGGGCAGGCTGGCTGGGCCCTGCAGCAGCCACATCCTCCCCAGGCCTGGGAGCCACTGCTGCTGGCCTGCAATGGATGGATGGCTGGGCTGGCAGAGCTTCTGGGGCACATAGTGGGGGCCGCCAGAGGCCCCAGTTTAGACCTGGTGTGCCTTGAGCCCTGCCACTGTACACAGTGCCTCTGCCCGCGTGCCTTGTGGAGCACCCCAGGCTGTGTCCTGGGGAACCTGGTGCCCCTCATGCTGCTTATCCTAGATCCCCTGCGGGGCCCGTGGGGAGGCCCAAGGAGACCGGACCTGCTATTTACTATTTGCACCTGTCTTGAGGGAGGATGTGGACCGAAACAGTCCCCACTGTGGACAGGAGGCCAAACTTCCTGTCAGGGAGGAGGGACAAGCAGAGGTGTCTGTTCCCGGGGTCGGGACTTCCTCATGCCCCATGGCTCTGTCCTTGGTCCTCTGCCCTCCTAGAGGGCCCAGGAGCCCCCACAGGGGCAGGGCTGCTCTCTCAGAAATTGCCCAGAGTCTGGATGGAAGCATGAGGGGAGCCCAGCCCCGGGGAGCCCTGCAGCCCCATGGGGTCTCACTTCCTCTTCCCATCTCCTCGCCAGAGCTCCTACCCCATCTGGGAGGACTTCAACTCCAAGGCCACAAAGCTGCATTCCCAGCTGAGGTGAGGCTGCTGAGGGCACCCCAACTGGGGAGGGGACGGGCGGAGGGGAGGACACCTCACCACAGACCATCCCACTGTCCATCTCCCCAGGACCACTGTGCTGGCTGCTGTGGCCTTCTTGGATGCCTTCCAGAAAGTGGCCGACATGGCCACCAACACCCGAGGTGGGGAGGGGGCGTGGCTGGAGGTTGGGGAGGCTCCAGGTTAGGCTTGGAGGCTGGAAAGGCTGAGTGGAGTAGGAGCGGAGCCAGGCCCAGAATCTGGACCTTGAGTTCTGCTCCCTAAGGGAAGGGGCTGGTTGTAGAGAGTGAGCCTCTTGTCACTAGAGGCATGCTAGCAGGAGTGGGTGAACCATGACAGGAATGTTACAGGGGGGTTCTGTTCTTGCTATGGGTGGCCTTTGACCCCTGAGTCCCAGTTGTTCCCCCTCCTGTACAGTGAGTCTGATTATAGCCTCTTCTCACCCACCCTCACCTGCCCTTCTGAGAGCACGCAGGGGCAAGTGAGCCTTCCCTGTTGGCCTTGGCACCTCCTCTGCTTTCTGGTCCGAGTAGCAGGGACCTGGGGCCCCTGTTCCTTGGGCTGGCGAGAACCAAGGCATTGGGTGCGTGTCGGCCCTCTCATTCCTGCATCTGGGCACACCTGAAGGGGGTTTCTGATAAGGTGGGAGGGGATTTTGCCTGGTCATTGGTTCTGGCCTCTCCCAGCCAGGTGAAGGTAGGCACCTGGCTTAACCACCAGAGCACCCGCAGCTGCAGGAGGCTAGCATAGCCCGCGTGGGCAGGGCCTTGGTCCCACACGGAGGAGAGGCTCGGTAACTACTGGGGGATGTGATCATCCCCCGCTGGGGCCGTCAGGATTGCAGAATGCCGGGGGCGGGGCGCGGGCTGCCCGCGGGGCCTTTGGTGGCCAGCTCGCCCCCTCGTGGTCGAGACCGGGACTGCAGAGGCCCAGGCGGGCCCCTACCCACGCTGTGCGCTTGCCTCGCCAGGGGCCACGCGGGACATTGGCTCAGCGCTCACGCGCATGTGCATGCGCCACCGCAGCATCGAGACCAAGCTGCGGCAGTTCACCAAGTGAGTGGCCACTGCGGGCGGGCAGGGTTGTCGCAGGGAGACTCCCTTGGTGGCCCTGACCTACACAACCCCTTTCCACAGCGCCCTGCTGGAAAGCCTCATCAACCCACTGCAGGAGCGCATAGAGGACTGGAAGAAGTCAGTTAACCAGCTGGACAAGGACCACGCGAAAGGTGGGGCCCGTGCTTGGGTTGGGGCTTTCCTCCACCACTCCGCAGAGACATTCATCATAGTGCTCCTCTCTCCTCCCCTGCACAGAGTACAAACGAGCCCGGCACGAAATCAAGAAGAAGTCTTCAGACACCCTGAAGCTGCAGAAGAAAGCGCGCAAAGGTAGAGCCCAGAGCACCCCGCCGAGGCACAGCCCCATCAGCCCACTCCATATTCCCCACCGCCCTCTGAGGCGCCCCAGGGCGTCATCCTGGCCGGAGGGGCCCTATCCTGGACACAGGACCCTCCAATCTGTTGGGTGGGACAGAGGGAGCCTCCCTGCACCCCAGACCTGGCCCCAGACCTCCCCTTTCAGGGAGGCGGCAGGAGGCCCCACAGGCCCAGGCTCCCCACCCCCACCCCAGGAGTGGCTCTGTCCATCCGGCTGTCTTTCACACATTCTTTCTTTCTCTGTCTCTCCTTCTTCCACATCCTTCCTGTAGAGCTACTTGGTAAGTCAAATGTCCGTCCCTCCAGCTGCTTCTCCCGTCCTTGTCGCATTTGTCTGTCTCCCCCAGCTCAGGGCCATTGGAAGGAGCTTCTTCAGGACAAGGAAGAGCGAGGAAGGCAGTTGGTCCAGCGAGGGAGGGGCCTGGGGCACAGTTCCACTGGGGTCCCCAGAACCCCTGGCCAGGGATGAACCCGGGGCCACTGCTGAGGCAGTCTCCAGGCCCAGAGGGGTTGGACCGGGCCAGGTGGGGGGCCCAGGCCTTGGCTGCCCGCCCCTGCCCAGCTGCCTAGAGTCCTTACCTGTTGCTTCTCCACTTCTTGTCTCACCACTCCTTTACATCATCCTCTTGCCTCTCTCTGTCTCTCTCACTGCTTCTTAGTGTCGCTGTTGCTGTCTTTGTGCATTGCTCCATGAGCTCAGTGGGGGCCCACACTAAAACACCCTGTTCCCTGCCCCCTGGGTGCAGCCGCAGATCTCCTGAACGTGGCCCACCCAACAGCTGAGCCCCACACACTACTTTGTCCTGCCTCTCCTCTGCGTCCCTGTGTCCTGGGAAGCAAAGGGGCGCTGCCCAGTGGGCAGTGAGGTTGTCCTGTGGGGTGGAAGTGTCCGCTGTTGTGGAGGCCTCCGTTGGGCTGCCCCTGAGCACAGCTATTCCAAGGGCAGCCCTGAGGCTGCCCAGGACTCTGCTTATTCCAGGTCCTGGGTGGCTTTGCAGCTTTGGTGTCTTTCCCGTGTGCATGTCTGTCTGTCCTCTTTGCCTGCTCTGGGGACCAGCCCCTCCACAAGCCTCGGAGTCCTGACTGCCCTCCCCAGCCCCCTGGTCCCCATGGCAGTGCCCAGCCCCATGGCCAGGGACACCACCACGGGGCCTGAGCCACAGATGCAGCAAGCCAGGCTGGTGTCCCCAGCGCGGCCTCTCCTGCCTACCCCTCCAGGGAAAGGAGACCTGCAGCCCCAGCTGGACAGCGCCCTGCAGGACGTCAACGACATGTACCTGCTGCTGGAGGAGACGGAGAAGCAGGCAGTGCGCCGGGCCCTGATTGAAGAGCGCGGTCGCTTCTGCACCTTTATCACCTTCCTACAGCCTGTGGTGGTGGGTCCCTCGGGGTTAGAGCGGCGTTCGGAGCATCCCCACGGTTGGGCTAGTTGAGCAGTCCCCTCAGCATGTGACCATCCCCACATCCCAAGAATCAGGATTTGGGCACTGCTGGGCTTGAGTTCTTGGTGACTCAATCGTCCCGGCAGGTTAGGCTGGGCCTAGAGTTGACCCCTTGACCTCAGAGAAAGGTCACTTCTCAGTAATCCCTGGCTGGGTGCATTCGGGGCCACAGGCGCCTGGCCTAAAGGCAGGTCTCATAGCTCATTATCAGTGATGGTCTGGACAGATGGTCTCACCAGCCCCAGGCTGTGCAGGCCCCGCCCCCATCAGCACCAGCTGCACTGGCCAGTGGGAAGGAAGGGTGAGACAGGAAGGGGCAGGTGAGGCCTGTTCCTCCAGGGTGGGCGGGCAGGGGCAGGGCCAGCAGCCCTGACTCACTGCCTCCTCAGAACGGCGAGCTGACCATGCTGGGAGAGATCACCCACCTGCAGGGCATCATTGACGACCTGGTGGTGCTGACCGCAGAGCCTCACAAGCTGCCCCCCGCCAGCGAACAGGTACAGTTAGCCCTAGGGACAGGACAGGGGAGGGGAGGGGGCAGCCTGCCCTTGGTTGGGGGCAGTAGAGGAGAAAAGGGGACAGCATCTGGGGGAGGCAGCTGGGGACAGAGGACCAGACATGTCCTGACACCCACTGTGAGGTATCCAGGAGCATCTGCCCAGGTGAGGGGTGATGTGCCCCAGACCCAAGGGGGACCTCAAACTGAAAGCAGATGGGCAAAAGTTCTGGATTCGTGGGGCTTGGCCCTGAGTTTGCCCCTGGGCTCTACCTGAACAAGCCAGACAGACCTGGTGATGCCTGCCCACCTCACCCACCACTGTGCGCCCACTGCTCCAGCCCTGTGGCATTGCTCTTACTGGACACTTACTGAATGTCCAGCGCTCTGCTGAGCACTTCCCACGGGTCATCTCACTGACTCACCCAAAAAGTCCTCTAAGTCAGGAATGATTGGCTGCATTTCACAGGAGAAACTGAGGCTCAGCTTGGTCTAGGAACTTGCCTGAGGGGCACAGCAGAGCCAGGATTTGAACCCCATGGTGCCCTTCATGGTCACTCTCTGCTGGCTCCTCTGCCAGCGACAGTGAGTCCTCAGGACCACCTGCTTCTCCCATGTCCCCTGCCTGGCCCAGGTGGGCTCAGAATTTACTCAGTGTGTGTGAGCTGAGGGGCCTGGCCCAGGTGCGGCAGTGTCTCTGAGAATCAGAGAGGGTGGAGTCTCCCCCAGGTGTCTCCCCTAGCCCTCTGGCAGCCCTGCTTTCCACCCGCAAGTAAGGAACTTGCATTAGGAAGTGGCTGGGGCGGGGGTGCTTCAGACTTCTGGGGGTCTCCTGCTGGGGTCTGGTTCTTAATTGGGAAGAGCGTGGGGGGCCTTTGGCCTTATCAGCCCTCGGGGGGGGCCCAGGAAAATGATAAGGCTCTCCGCAGGGCAGGGCTGCCTCCAGTGACCCCCATCTATGTGCCTATCCAGGTGATCAAAGACCTGAAGGGCTCAGACTACAGCTGGTCCTACCAGACCCCACCCTCATCACCCAGCAGCTCCAGCTCCCGAAAGTCTAGCATGTGCAGGTCAGTGAGGGGTCAAGGTGGGGGGGGCGGTGTGGAGGGTGCAGGGATACCCTGGGAGGGAATGGGGAAGTTCTCACAAACACTGCGTCAAGAACTGCTTCAGGGCCCCAGAATTCACACAACTTCTGCATCACCCAGGACTTTGCAAGTGCAGAGGAAAAACACACCCCCATCACAAGACTGCTGCTGGCACGGGCATGTGTTAGCAGGAGGTGGGCTGCAGGAGCAGCTTCACTTATGGAGCAGTGACTGTGTTCCAGGTGCCATGCTCAATGCTTTATGCATTTTCTTCATTGAATCCTAACCCCACCATATCGGGTATGGTGTTGTCTCCCTTTCACAGAAGGGGAAACTGAGACAGTCCCAGTATTTAACCACTGGGCTCTGCTAGCCCCAGCACAACCTGGAGGAATAGTAAGAATCTAAGATCAGGGAGGGCGTGGAGGCTTCAGAGAACATGTGCTGAGGCCACAAGCATGCCTTACAGACACTCCAGCACGGCTGGTTCCTGAGAGCTGGTTCTTGCGCAGCTGCCATAGGCCCGAACCCCAGTCCAGGCTGGTCCCCCCAGGCCTCATTTAATCACCAGGAAGGCTCGGGGGCAGGGGCACTTCCTGAGCTGGCACCAGGTGGGATTTGGTGAAGACATTTAAGATTCAAGGCTCCTTGGGTGGGAGGGCACAGAGTGAGCTACTCTGAGGGAGCCCCCTCTGCCCAGGCACCCCTTCCCCGGAACCACTCTGGCTGGGCACAACTACTCCTGCAGGGAGAGGAGGGCCTGATCTGTTGGACCCAGGGTGGGTGGCCATCAGAGGAGGGAGGGTTGGGTGCAGGGGACACCCATGACCAAGGACAGGAGTTGGGGGACTTCAGTGTCACACTCAGGAGGAAGGTGACCTTCATTGCTAGGAACACTGCCTGAGAGTGAAATGGCTGCATAGAGGATGTGTGCTACGAGGGCTGGACACCTTCAAGGGCATAGACCAAGGGCACAAACCCACACAGACCATCACTATACACCAGGCATCCAATTGGGATTCGATGGCAAATATCAGACTTTGAGAAGGCAGCCTAGACATAATCAGACATGTCTGGTTCTAGCGCAGCTGGGAAACTGACACATGGTAACTCGGTTTCCCCATCGTTAACCTAAGGTCTGCTGTTCTCAATGGCAGAGTACAAGGCTGAGAGACTGTGGGGCCCTGGGCGTGCCCTGACAGGGACCCCCAGAGCCCTGGGGCACTCCAGGGGCAGGGACTGAGCCAGCGTTTTGGTGCTGCCCCCTGCCTGGGCCCAACCCTGTCCCACAGCCCAGAACCCAGCTCCTTGGTGGCACCTGGGTCTCAGGACCTTGTAGTCTGACGTTGTCTTTTTCTTCCTTTGCCCCTCACCTGTCTCCCCCACCCTCTTATGTCACCCCTCCACACACGCTCCTGTGTCTCCCTGTCTGGCTGCTGTGCCCCCTTTCTTCACTCCCCCAGCGCCCCCAGCAGCAGTAGCAGTGCCAAGGGTGGCGGAGCCCCATGGCCTGGGGGTGCCCAAACATACTCACCCAGTTCCACCTGTCGCTACCGCAGCCTGGCGCAGCCAGCCACCACCGCCACCGCCCGCCTCTCCAGCGTTTCCTCCCACGACTCTGGCTTCGTCTCCCAGGATGCCACCTACTCCAAGCCTCCCTCACCCATGCCTTCAGACATCACCAGCCAGGTGAGGGGGTGTCAGCAGGACCACCCGGGTGGGGTGCAATAGCCTCATGACAGCCTCAGGCTCTCCACGTGTGGGGCCACCTACAGCTGTTGATACCAGCCGGAAGGTCGTCTGCACCACCACACTGGGGACCAACCTGAGCTCACTGCCTCAAGGCTAAAGAGAAGTGGGGAAGGAAGGTCTTGGAGCAGCCAGCATCGCCACAGCAGTGTCAGCATGGGCTTTGGTGGCCCCATTTCCTCCCCATACCTCAATTCCTTGCCTACTGCCTCCTTCCAGTTGCAGGAGCTGGGAGCCGGCAGCTTGCCAACAGCACTGGCTCCTTGTAACCCCTCCTCCTCCTCCACACTGAAGCCACCTCACTCTAAACCCAGAGACTGGCCTAAGAATCCCCTGGACAGGCTCTGTCTCAGTTCCTGCAGCCTCTGTGAGGTGGGCAACAGGGAACACAGCAGAAGACAAAGGGAGGTCAGGCCGCATGCCCAGGGGGCTATCTGCAGGGTAATGGGAAGACCCAACCCGCATTACTATCTGCAGGGTAATGGGAACGACCCAACCCGCATTTGTGTCCAGTCTGCTGTCCCGCCCTGTCCTGGCTAGTGCTTGCCTTTGGGCTCAGCATTCTGTGTTCTGCTCTCTCACCCGAGGATTTCCCCAATGCACTGACACTCTTTCCCTGCGCCAGCTCATTCCTATCAGTGCTCTAGTGCCATCCATCTGAAAGGCCCTCCCTTCCCCCCACACTCTCCTTCAGGCACCTCGTCTCCTTCACCGCAAAACGCCTCTGACCATCTCCACCTCATCTCCCATTCATTCATCCCTGTGTGCTTCGCCTGTCAATAATTGAAAAAAATACGGATTTCTTATTTTCTCCCAATAGTTCCTATTTACATTTGCTTTATATATTTGGAGACTTTTATGAGGTGCATGCAAGTTTAAAATGTCAGCTCTTCAGCGTGAGTTGAACCTTGTAACATGGCATAGTTGAGCTTCTGTTCCTTGTATGGCTATCTGTCGTCAAGTCCATTTTGTTTGATATTACTGCAGCTACGTCAGCTTTATTCTGTCGGTATTTAAGTTATCATTTTCAACCTCTTTCCTTTTAAACTCACTGTATCTTTATGTTTTAGATGAGTCTCTTGTAAACAGCATATGCCTAGATTTTCTTTTTTTTCTTTTTTATTGGGGATTTTTTTGGGGGGATGGGAACAGTGCTGGGGAATTGGGGGAAGGGGAACAGACAAGTTGCTGTTGTTTTGTTCTTCAGTCTAGTTGTGGAGGACGTTGTTTCACTGGCCCAAGCTGGCACCATCATTGCGCTCTTCCCGGGTGAGGCACATCAGTCTAGATTTTCTTTTTTTATCCAATCTGACAATCACTATCTTTTAATTGGCATTTTTAGTCCACTTATATTTATGATTACTGACATATTTGGACCTCTGTCTTACTTTTTTTCTTTCTCTTCTGTTTTTTTCTGTGCTGCTTTTGTCTCTTCCTTTGCCTTTTGTTTTTTCTTTTCCCATATTTCCCCACTACTGGATTGTAAGTTATACTCTAGTCCTTTTCTTTTACCGGTTACCTTGACATTTTACCGTGCATCCTCAGCAGTCACAACCCTACCTCATGAATAATTCAAGGACCTTAGTATGTATATAACTTCAGTCACCCACTCCCTCCCAACCTATAAGCTATTATATGTTATTCTTTCCTTTTTTGTATCACCCACAAATGGCATTTTTCTTCTTAATTTCATCATGATTTTATACACACAGTATTTGTTTATATTTATGCATGTGTTTACATATTTCTTTGTTCATTTTTTTCTTGAATCTCATATCTTCCTCACCTCCTTCTTTCTGAAGTAGAGTACATCCTTCAGAAGTTGTTTTAGAATAGGTCTGTAGTAGTAAACTGTCAGGGTTTCTTTTTGTTGTTTTTATGTATAACTAGCTTTGTTTTGTCCTCTTCCTTGTAAGTTTTCCCAGGGACACAGTTTTGAGGAGACAGTTGTTCTCTCGCCATACTTTGAAGGTATTTTTCCACTGTACTCTGGCCTCCATTGTTGGTTGAAAGATTTGCTATCAATCACATTGTTGCTCCTTTGTAAGTGATCTGACCTCTCTCTCTGTGTCAGACCTTCTCATTCTATCCTTCTGTGTCTCCTAACTCACCTGCTTCCATCTCCTTTTTCCTCTGTACTACATGATGAATACTTTCTTCAGGAATGCCAATTTGCTTTTTCTCTAGAGCCTAGCCTGTCCATTAAGGTTTTTCTTTTTACTTTTTCTTTTATTTATTTTTTTTATCACTACAATATGTCTAGTTAACATCCGATTAACTTTTTATTTTGAGACAATTTCAGTCTTGTAGAAAAGTTGTAAAAAGAGTACTGAGGGCCGGCCGAGTGGCTCAGTTGTTTAAGAGCTCGCTCAAGAGCTTGAGCTCTGAGCAACAATGGTTCGATTCCCGGCCTGAGCTGAGCTGCTGCTGAGCTGCTGCTGAGCTGCCAACAGGTGGCAGGATGGCTCGGCTAAAAAAAAAAAAAGAGTGCTAAGTTTCCACGCCCTTTCCCACATTTATTAACGTATGTTAACATCTGATGTAACTACCAGACAATTTTCAAAACCAGTCAATTTAACACTGGCACAATGCTATTAACTAATCTACAGTCTTTTTCCAGATTTTGCCCGTTTTCTCACTATTATCCAAGATCCATGCAGGGGCCTGTATTGCATTTAGTTGTGATTCTTTAGGCTTTTCCAGTCCATAACAGCTCTTCTTCAGTCCATTTTCCTTTTTCATGACTTTGATACTTTTGCAGTATACTGTTTTTCATGACTTTGATACTTTTGCAGTATACTGGTCAGATATTTTGTAGAATACCTCTCACGTTTGTGTTTGCCTGATGTCTCCCCATAATTAGATTGAGGTCATACACTTTCGGCAAGAATAGCACAGCAGTGGCTTTTGGCCGTTCCTCATCCTCACTAACCCTTGGTATTTTACGTTTTGTTCATTTTAACCATTTTGCTCGGTGTATAGCAGTCATGCCCTGTGTTTATAATTTGCATTTACTTAATGATTCATGAGGTTGGACACCTTCCCATACTTTTCAAGGCCATTTGGATATCCTTTTTTGTGAAGGACCTGTTCAAATTTTTTGCTCATTTTTCTATGAGGTTGTTTGTCTTTTTCTTACTGATTCATACAACTTACATATTATGGATACAAGTTCTTCATCTGATATCTTCTCTGATTTTGTGGGTTTCCTTTTTACTCTCTTATTGAAGTCTTTTCATGACCTATAAGTTCTTCACTTTAATATATGTCCAGTTTATCCATTTTTAAAAATTGTTAGTGCTTTTTGTGCCCTGAGATATTTTTGTGTATTCCAAGGTCACAACGATGTTTTCCTCTAAAAGCCTTTTTGTTTGTTTGTTTTACCTTTTTCATTTAGATCTACAGCTCATCTGGAATTAATTGATTGATTGTGTGTGTGTGTGTGTGTGTGTGTGTGTGTGTTGTGAGGTATGGGGTCATTTTTTCTATACAGATATTTAATTGACAGTTTATTGAAAATACCATCATTTCCCCCAACTGCACTGCTCATGAGTCAGGTGTCTGGTTGTGTGGTGGTTTCTGGAGTTTGTATTCAGTACTACTGGTTGATTTGTCTGTTCTTCTACCAGTACGACACCATCTTAATTACTGTAACTTTATAAAAAAACTTGATACTTGGTAATGAAAGTCCTCCAGCTTGTATTCTTCAGTATCACTTTGTCTAATTTTCGCTCTTTACATTTCCTTATAAATTTTAACATCAACTTGTCAGTTTCCACCAAAACAGCAGCAGTAATCCTGAGATCTTGCCTGGGATTGCATATCTCTCCCCATTTATTTTGGCTTTACCTTCTCTCAATGTTTTGTAGTTTTCATGTAAAGATTTTGCACATCTATCATTGAATTTTTTTCCTGGGTATTGGATGTTTATTGATGCTACCGTATTTGCCGGCGTATAAGACGACTGGGCATATAAGACGACCCCCTAACATTTCCACTCAAAATACAGAGTTTGTTATATACTCGCCGTATAAGACTACCCCCTCTTCCGCACACCTTCCACACACCAAATAAAAGGTAAAACAATATCAGATTTGATTTGGCCCACTGAAGTGCAAACAAGCGTATTGTATTTCGTGTCACCACATAACCGTTTTGGCGATGTTGAGCCACCATGTCTGCTACATGTTTTTCGAGTTCTGGCCAGTGTGGGGTGCCTCTTCTTAATGCACATTTACCCCTTGGCATACTCTTTAATGCTTTCTCATTTGATTTCCAGTCCCGAACCATCTTTTCTGTTACTCCATATTGTCTTGCAGCAGCACAATTATTATTTTCCTTAGCAAAGTTTATAACTTTCAGTTTAAAATTTGCATCATACTTCTTTCTTTTGGCTGGTGCCATGATAGGGATGATAGGGGTTTGACTGGTCGACATTTTCTATGCTGTGCTGTACAATGGTGCAGTATTGTGGTTGGCTGTTGGCTGTATACAAAGCCTGATTTGATTGGTCCCTGCTCCCTGTTTGCCTGCCCTGTCACTATAGCAGTCTGGTCCACCCTTGCATCAGCATCTCCCTGGGACCTACTAGTGCGCAAGTGCGAGCTCTTCAACATTCTAACAGGCACCATGATAGCGCAAAATCGCGAATCTTCAATGCATATGTAAAGAAATATACGGTAACCCGAATTTACCACACTCGCAAAATCGCACACAGCCGAGCATACACCCAGCAGCGCTGCTGATGCCTGAACGGTATGTGGAATGAAGTGGGCGGGCATCGGGAGGCCACTATGGCACGGGGCAAGCACTATGGGCAGTCTATCTGAAGTGTACCTGGCGTATAAGACGACCCCCCACTTGGAGGCATATTTTTCAGGGCCAAAAAATCGTCTTATACACCGGCAAATACGGTATTTTAAATTATATTGGCTTTTTTAGGGATTTTTGTCAGTAGCTGATATTTAAAAAGTTGACTTTTTTTGTATATTGATCATATATCCAATAACCTTGTTAAAATCACTTATTAGTTCTGATAATTGTAGATTCTTTTGAATAGTCTACCTGTGCAATCATGTATTTTACAAATAATAACCGCTTTATTTCTTCCTTTCCAGTCCTTTTGCTTTTTACCTCCTTTTCTTGCCTGTTGCATCGCTAAGACTTTCAATGCTGAATACAAATGGTGATAGTGGGCATCCTTATCTTTTTCCCAATCTCAGAAAAAAGTATCAATATTTCTATAGATATTCTTTATCAGATTAAGGAAGTTCTATTCTATTCCTAGTTTTAAGTTTTTTGGGGTTGTTTTACTTTTTCATGCCTGAGTGTTGAATTCTTTCCATTCAGTTTTCCAAATACTTTTTTCCACCAGTTTTTTGTTTGGTTTGGTTTTAACAATTGTATTGGTAAAAAATTTAATTTCTTTACTTCTGGATCCTCTGGTGCTTTGTTTCCTTTTTTTTTTTTTTTTTGGTGATCATGGTTCATTATAAACTGTGAAAAATGCAGAGGTCTAACTTAAGGATGATTTAGAGAATTTGACAGGATCTGGGGTGAGGGGTGCTACTGATCGATCCCCTTCCAGGCTCCTGGCTGAATTTGGGTCACCCACAGTGAGCTTTCCACTGTGCGGAAGCCAGCATCTGCTCTGGGGAACCCTCACGGTCCTGTTTTCGCCCTTACTTCTTTTCTCTTCATTTTTTTGTTGTTGTTTTGAGTTGGGGGGCCTCCCAGGGTACCTAGTCCCCTCCAGCTGCCCAGAGCGGCGTCTCCATGCACACTCAGTCCTCTCTTCACTGGACTTCTGCCCCCATCATTCCACTGAAACAGTTGTCGAGGTCTCCACAGATGCCCTTTGCCCTCATCTGATGGACCCCCAGCAGCAGCAGCACAGCTGACGCACCTTCACACATCAGGTTCTTCCACCGAGTTCTGTGATGTCGCCTGCTCACGGTTTTCCTCCCACCTCACCAGCAGCTCCCTGTCCCTCTCCTTAGCTGGACCCTCCTCTTCTTCCCATCCTCTAAAAGTTGACACGCCTGAGGTCCTTGAACCTTTTCTCTTAACTACCCTCAGTGCCAACGTGACCTTATTCTGTATTATGGCTGCTGGATTTGTGGTTCCAACCCTGATGTCTCCCTAAACTCCTGACTTGGACATACAGTTGCCCACATTGCATCCGTGTGTAGACACCCCGTAGACAGCTCCGCGTAACATGTACAGGATGGAGCTCTGGGCTCCACGCTTCCCCCTGGCCTGCCCTTCTGAGCAAATAGTGACACCATCCACCCCACTGCGCAAGCCAGATACCCCGCTGCCATCCTTAGTATCTCTCTTTCCCTGACCCACCACATTCAGCAGCAGCGAGTCCTGTCACTCATTCTCAAAATATGTGGTATTGGGCTGGGCCGTAGGGTAAGCCCATACCGGTGGTGTGCGCTCTGGGTGCTGCATCCTGCTGCAGATGTTCATGGCCATGGTCCTGGAGGGTGGGGGTAGGTGCCAGATCGGACCACCCCCAGCATGCCGGCCCTGTGACCAGATCTGTTCTCTCCTCTCCTCCGGCCTCCCCGCCCTGTCTGCTGGCTTCTTCATGGCAGAAGTCCTCCAGCTCTGCATCCTCTGAGGCCTCGGAAACCTGCCAGTCTGTTAGCGAGTGCAGCTCCCCCACCTCGGTCAGTGCTCCCCACCTGCTGCGGGTTGCAGGGAGGGCCCAAGTCCAGCCAGAGGGTGTGCACACAGCGCCTGTTCCCCCGAAAGAAAAGCCCCCTGGGCACCACTGCAGCCACGCCCCACACACTCACATCTTTTCCTCCTGCCCCTGCGCCTGGCGGGACTGAGAGGTCACAGTGCCCTCCATACTCTGCCCTTGGCCATGAGTGTGAGCCCACATGGGCCTGGAAACCCTGACCTTTCACTACAGTGAGGGGCCACTTGGCCAGGGACAGCAGGGCCAAGGGACCCCCTGACCCGCCTCCCATGTCCTGCAGGACTGGGCCAAGGCCGGCCCCCACGAACAGCCCTCGGGCACGACCCTGCAGCGGAGGAAGGACCGAGTGGAGCTTCTCCGAGACACAGAGCCAGGCCCAGCCAGTGGGGGCACCGTGGGCCCCAGTGGAGAGGAGGCTCCACGCCCCCGCATGTCCCCTGCCACGATTGCAGCCAAGGTAGGCAGCCCAGCCAGGGTCCCACCTTCACGCCCAGGTCCGCGCCAGGAGACCTGGCTAATGGTCTCAGGGCCAGCTCCGCCCCCTGGTGGGAGCTCCCTGGAGCCTGGGCTGAGTGGGGAAGCTAGGGAGCTCGGCTCAGCCTACAGTCTTACCGCCCCCAGCACGGTGAGGAGGTGTCCCCTGCGGCCAGTGACCTGGCCATGGTGCTGACCCGCGGCCTGAGCCTGGAACACCAGAAGAGCAGTCGGGACTCGCTGCAGTACTCCAGCGGCTACAGCACGCAGACCACCACGCCCTCATGCTCGGAGGACACCATCCCCTCCCAAGGTAGGCCCCGGGGCTGGGGCGGGTTCCTGGGCCTGCAGCCCCGAGGCCCCGGCCCACTGCATCCCGTGCCCCCAGGCTCTGACTACGACTGCTACTCTGTGAACGGAGACGCAGACAGCGAGGGCCCGCCTGAGTTCGACAAGTCGTCCACCATCCCTCGCAACAGCAACATCGCCCAGAACTACCGCCGCCTGATCCAGACCAAGCGCCCGGCCTCCACTGCGGGGCTGCCCACCGCCGGGCTGCCCACCGCCTCGGGCGCGCCCCCCGGCGTGGCCACCATCCGCCGCACGCCCTCCACCAAGCCCACCGTGCGCCGGGCTCTCTCCAGTGCTGGACCCATTCCCATTCGGCCACCTATCGTCCCTGTGAAGACACCCACCGTGCCCGACTCCCCCGGCTACGTGGGGCCCACACGGGCGGGCAGCGAGGAGTGCGTCTTTTACAGCGATGAGGCCGCTTCGCCCCTGGCACCGGACCTGGTGAAGGCCTCCCCAAAGAGGCTGAGCCTGCCCAACACGGCCTGGGCCAGCCCAGCCTCTGAGCCCGCCGGCTACCCCGGGCCAGGGGCCGAGGATGAGGAGCAGCAGCAGCAGCTGGCCGCCAACCGGCACAGCCTGGTAGAGAAGCTCGGGGAGCTGGTGGCGGGTGCCCATGCCCTGGGCGAGGGCCAGTTTCCCTTCCCCACTGCCCTGTCAGCCACCCCCTCCGAGGAGACACCCACCTTGCCCCCAGCTGCCACTGGGGACCCCCCAGCTGAAGATATGCTGGTGGCCATCCGGCGAGGGGTGCGGCTCCGCAGGACCGTCACCAACGACAGGTCAGCACCCCGCATCTTGTGATGGCGCCACTCTCCCACCCTCTGGCCAAGTGTGAGGCTGGCGGCCTGTGGAGCAGCCAGGGCTCTGAGCAGAGGCACAGCCAGGAGAGAGCAGAGCCAGGCAAGCTTTTTTCTTTTTAAATCACATAAGGCAAAGCCACTTTATGAAAAGACACACCCAGCTTGGATTTCAACGTTTAAACAGGAAGTGACTTCTTTAACAGACCTCACCGCGACCGAGCCTGCAGGCCTCGAACTGGATTTGGAGCCTGTTTTATACTCTCCTTGCCTACGACGTTCCTCTTTCTCCCTGCAGGCCCTGCCTTTCCCACATCTCAGTCAGCCCGAACCCCCTCCCCTGCCCACGGCAGAGGGGCCAGGCCAGCCTCTCGCCGTCCCACCCACCGACCTGGGCCCACAGTGCCACAGCTTAGCTAACCTGGCCCGGCGGTGCCCCGGGTCTTTCCGGAATGCTGGCCGCTGCGCCTCTGACTGAGCCCCTTTCCTTCCCTCTCCCTTCTCCGCCTCTCCCATGCTCCCCTCCATCCGGGATGCAGGGTGGCTGTGGAGGGGCCAGGTGCCCAATCAGCTAAGGTAGTGGCTTTGACTGAAAAGGTGTGCAGTGTGGCCAATGGTTGTGGGGGCAGGTGAAATTAGAAGGCAGCCCACTGTGAGGGAAGGGCCTTGGGTAGGAAATGCAGGGGTCCTGCCTGGAGGGGTCCTGCGGGGGACCCCGAGGCAGTTTCCGTATCCTGCCTTTCCCTTCTCTGTGAGGTATGGCCGGGATTGGTGAGCAGGGTCGGGCAGCAGGGAAGGCGTCCAGAGGCCTCCGGGGTCATTGGGCCAGCCCCCCAGGAGCTGCTTTCAGATGTCCAGTCCTCATCTGAGCATGTCAGATCTAATTCTGGTAGCACTTTGCTCACAGTTCCGGCCACCTTTGGGGGTGGGGGCTGGAGCTGCAGAGGATATGTGTGTGGGGTTACGAATATAAAATGGAGCTGACTGGACAAAGACTGTGTGTGGGGACAGGGTGGATGATACAGGGTGTGTCCAAGAGTGCCTGACGGACAGGGGGCGCCCACAGTGGCCTGGTGGACCTTGGCAGGACAAGGAGGGCTGAATTGGCTCCCCAAAAGCCAGGGGGCAGCTGTTCTCCAGCATCCGGAGCAAAGCCAAGGTTGGGATGGCCAGGGGGCGGGTCTTCCAACCCATCTGAGGGGTGGGGAGCCCCCCACCAGGCCAGGCCAGGGGCAAGTCCCGGGAGACTGGCTTTGACTCTCTGTTGCCAGAGGAGATGCCATCCCAGGACGCGCTCCCCACCCCAGCCCTGCAGTCCTGGCAGCAAAGCAGGGGTGGGGCGGGCTGGGGGTGTCTTCCCCCTCCTTGCACCAAGTTGTGCCAACTCTAAGCAGGTAAAAGTAGGTGCACCTCCAGCGAGTGGAGGGCTTCCTCACGTCCTGCAGGCCAGCAGAGAGAGCTGAGCTCAAAGGGTGGCAGGGCCGCCTGGACAGGGTTGGTCTGAGTCTCCCAGCCCCAGCTGGAGATCCTGGTAGTTCTTGTGCCGGGAACTGGGACCCAGGCAGCGTGGCCAGGTGGGGCTGGGGAACTAAGGGTGCCCCCGAGTGGATGGAGCCCCCGGCTCCCCCAGGGCAATGGAGAACAGTACCTGTAAGTCGCTAGATCTGAAAACCACCTTGCTGAGCGCTGCGGCCAACCTCAGAGCCCAGGTTTGAGCACCTGGACAGGGCCCAGGCAAAGGAGGGCCTGAAGAGACTGAAAGGGCAGAGGGCCGGTTCGGGCAGCCCTGGGGTGGAGTACACACTGGCCCTCCCTCCAGGGCTGCATGGGGCTTTGCCCAGGGGGGCGTATGGAGTAGGATGCAGGAAGTGTGACAGGAGCAGGGTAAGGAGCAGTGGGGTAGGAGTGTGGCTAGGTCCTGGAGTCCCAGAGAGGAAGAGCGTGCCTCCTGGGGAGTAGGGGTGGCTTTGGAGGCCCAGAGGGGGGATGGGGGGACATAGCCATCCCACCCACCCTCATCTGTCCCCCTCCCCTCCAAGCCACCCTGGGGCTGTACATAACTCCTCCATCCCTGTGACCACCTCTCATCCATTTTAGTGACCACCTCATAGGCCCACTCCCCGGGATCCGAGCCAACCATCCCGCATCAGACTTTGGTTTGGGGGACTTCCTTACATTCGTTTTATTTTTCATTTTGTACAGAGAAATATTCTTTTCGAAATCTTTTGACTGAAGTAACTTTTCTGGTGCTGTTGTTAACTTGTTCCTTCTTTTAATTTATTTTCCCACCCAGGCCACCCCTCCTGGTTCCCACTCACCCGTTCTTCCCGTCACTGCCCCCCGCCCCCATCCACACCCTCCATCCCATCCGAGCCATTTTGTTCCTTTTCTTTCTGTCAGTTTTTGGATAAATTATCCTCTTCCCCTTCTCCCCCTCCGCCCCATCCTGCCCTTGATTTAAATAGTCACTGCTACAAGTAACAAATGCACTGTGAAGATCCCAGTATTAATAAAGTTGTACTGTAATTAACACCCATGCTTCCTCTGCTGCTGCTCACCTGCCGCCTGCAGCACCCCCTTTCCATCCAGATCCCAGACTGTGGGGAGGGGGACTCCCTGGGAGCCCAGGCCTCTGTGCAGCAGGACGGGGCCTTGTGCCACGACCTATGCCTTTGAAGGCCTCAGCTCTGTCCTTGCTGGGAGCTGTGTTGAGGCCGCCAGATGGAGAAGGTGGCCAGGAGGCACTGCAGTCTGACGACACCCCCGGCCCCATCAGACTCGCTGAGGCCCTACGTGCTAAGGTGGGGCTGGAAGGAAAGGAACTCAGGCCCTCAGATGTCCACCATTGCAGCCCCCTGGCCAGGCTTCATCTTTTCCAAGTCGGAACCCTCAGACCCAGGCCCAGAGCCGACCAGCTGCCCATTGCACTTGGCAGGCTGGAGCTGGAGGAGGAGGTGGAGGAGGGGTTCACAGCCATTCCGGGTTCACCCTCGCAAATGCAAAATAAAACAAAACAAAACAAAGCGGGTGTTTAATAGAAAATAATGAACTGGAAGAGCACCCACTATGGCAAGATAGGGCACTTGGCACTTCCCTCCTCGGCTTCGCTGAGTCCTGTCCCCTCCACATCCACCAGCCCACCCGGCACAGCTCTCCACTTCTGCGGTCCAGGAGACAGCACTGCCGTGAGCAAGGCAGCCCGGGCAATGCCAGGAGGGGCTGTGAGCTCTGTCCTGTCCACCTTCAGGTGCCCCCAGGCTCCTGCCATTCTTGGTGAGACCATGTGAGGTATGGGGGGTGGGGAGCTGAGCCCTCCTTGGGCACAGGATCCCCCTGAAAGGAAAAAATACCCTCTCCCAAGGGGGACTCTGCACCACCACCCAGCGACAGCTCAGGCCCAGTTGAACTGTGGGAGCTCCTCCATACAGACTACTTGGGGTAGGAGGCCTCCTCCTGTGCCCTCAGCAGCTTCACTGGGCTGGGGGACCAGCCTGGGATCCCAGGGAGTGGGGCAGGGAGGTGGGAGGCTGCTGGGATAGAGAGTACAGCTGGGCGGCCACACACTGCGACGACGAGGGCTCTGGACTGTGAGGCTGAGGGCTTAGCACCTCACAGTTCTGCCAGTTTAGAATAGAGCTTTGTTTACCTGCAGGAGAGGAAAAAAAGACTTGCAGGAGTGGCCAACACTCCCCTTGTCCCACAACCAAGCCACATGGTTCTTGTCCCCATACGCAGGGCCCATCTCAAGCTCCAGAAATGGCCTGCCACCCTGGAGATTGGAGGGCATGCCCAGGACGGTGCCGGCTCTGCCACTGACGGACCTGCGCACAGACGCCCAGCCTCCTACCCCAGCCCTGTCCACTCAGAGATCCTTACAGCAAGAGCAGTACAGCAGCTCCATGACTCGGAAGCAGTTGTCCAGCAGGGCTTTGGGCCGCACCAGCTTCAGGCTCAGCCCCGGGGCACTCAGGAGAGACAACACTGCTTCCACCTTGGGGCCCACCTTCACACCCTAGAAGGGAGAAAACTGTTAGGACCACCGGCCAGTGAAGAGACAGGGCCACATCCCCAGAGGGCTGTGGGGGGCTGTCCCACCTGGAGCTGTGCAAACCACAGAAGAAGGACAAGACTTCCTGTGGCCAGGAGGCCTGTGAGCAATTTCTCTCCTTCTTCCTGCAGTCACCAAGCTTCTGGGGGGGAGGGTGAGGGGAGAGTCCCCTCAATGTCCCTTGTCCAAGCACAACACAGAGGCTTCTCTTCTCTCATCATTTGAACAATGACTGCAGGGGGCAGGCCAGACAGGGGGGAGGTCTGGGCATCCTTACTGTTCTAGCCAGAAATATGGGGCCTAAGCTGGGGAAGGACCTTCTTGTAGGTAAAGTGTACTGGGTTAAAGTGTGTGTCCCTCCCCTGTCCCCCTAAACAAACTGTCTAAGTCCTAACTCCTGGTACCTATGAATGTGACCTATTGGGAAACAGGGTCTTTGCAAAAATAATTGCGTTACGGATCTCAGGATGACATCATCCTGGCTTTAGGGTAGGCCCTAAATCAAGCAACTAGTGTCCTTCTAAGAGAAAGGACATGAGGCACAGAGGGAAAGGCCTGTGAAGACGGAGGCAGAAGTTGGAATGATGCTGCCACAAGCCAAGGAATTCTAGCAGCCACCAGAAGCTGCAGGAGGTGGAAAGGACCCTCCATCTAGGGCTTTCTGGGGGAGCATGGCCCTGCCCACACCTTAATTTGAAATTCCTGGTCTCCAGGACTGTCATAGAATACCTTCTGTTGTTTTAAGCCACCAGTTAGTGGTAATTTATTATAGCAGCCCTAAAAAAAGACTTGATACGCAGGCTCAGAGAGACAAGCCAGGCGAGTGGCAGGGAAAGGAGGCCTGTCCCCATGGCCCACACCCTAGCAGGGGAAAACTGACTGCCTGACAAGCGCTGGGCATATTCAGAGCAGGTCATAGACCACTAACATTGTTAGAAAAGATTGAAAAGCTGGTTAAATCTGAACAGCCCAGGTGGCTAGGGCCCTAGCCCACCCCACGATTCCTTCCTAGCTCCCAAACCAGCTCCCAAGACCTCTCAGAGCCAGAGACACTCTCAAGGAAAATTGAGGATGGAAAACTGTCTCTTCCCCAAGTCAGCTCCACCATCGACCCCTTGTCCCAGGGCACAAAAGAGCTACCCAGGAAATCGCTAGGGCTCCAGGCCTCTGCCAGAATTTCAAAAGCCTTCTCAAAGTTCAAGGTAGCTGCAAAAGCATTTGCTAGCCCCTAATCTGGGGGTCATCAGAAGCTCACATATGCTGTTGGGTGTTCTGGCTGGGGAGCAGGTGGGGGTCCCTGGGGCAGGTGTGTACCACAATCCTGAGGAGGGCTGGGTAGGTGAGGAGCAGGGCAACATGGGGTGTAGGGAGGGGTCCCACGGCATACACTCATCTGGCTGCTTTTTTCACCAGGCTTTTTGGAGGACCCATAGCCCGAGGTCTCTACTAACCCTGAGCAGGCTGTTATCAGGAACCCCTTTTCTATTATTATAATTCATTGAAGTCCATAGTTTACATTAAGTTTCACTCTTTGTGTTGTACATTCTATGAATTTTGATAAATGCATAATGTCACATACTCAATATTACAGTATCATACAAAAGAGTTTCATTGCCTTAAAAACCTGCTAGTTCACCTATTCATCCCTCCTCCCCTCTCCCACAAAGGAACCTTGTTTCTTAGATGCGGGAACGAAGCCACAGGGTTCAATGATGTGCCCAGGACCACAGAGCAAGACAGACAGAGCCTGGAACAGGATCTCAGGCATATCTCCTGCCCCCCAGCCCAGCGCCCCCCTTGGTCATCACTGGCCATCTCCTCCTCTCCCCCATTTTTCCCATACCACTCAGGACATGCCGCAACTTTCCTGGTGTTCTCACTCTCGCTTGAGAGCCCTTGGCCGCCACGCACACGCACGCACACACCGGCACACACGCACGCCCTGCCCACCCACACCTCTGCCCGGCTCACCATGAGGCCTTGCTGGACATCCACCAGCAGTCTGTGGACATCCTGCAGGTACTTCCAGGATGGATGGTCCTCCAGGAGCACCTCCTGCACTGACTCAGTGGCACTGAGACTCACCCAGACCCACAGATACCGCAGCTCCTGCTGGCTCACCCAAGCCCTCTGCTGCAGGGACAGAAGACATCATTGAAACCCTCCAGACACCACTCTCTGGGCCCTCCTCCCACCCATTTGCCCCTGCATAAGGAGCCAGCCACAGGCGTCCACTGTGAACAGCAGGCAACCTTGGGCCTGGACAAAGGGCAGGCTTGCTGGAAGGGTCAAAAAAGGCCATTGGCAACAGGACCTGCCAAACCAATGTGGCTCTTAGGAGAGGCCCATGGGATGTCCGTGGAGCAGGGGACTCCCCAGCCCAGGAGGGGATTCTCACCAGCCTGGTGACATTGGCCACTCTGAGCACCCCCTCATAAGGCACACGGATCTTGTAGTTGATGGGTAAGTAGTGTTTCTGTGGATTTAAAGAACAAACTGTGAGATCAGTCAGAAACAGCTCAGACAGGCTCCCCCAAACCCCCAGATGATTTGCTGTAGGAGGAGGGAACCCAGGAGCAGCCCTGTGATGGCAGAGGTGGCCTGTACAGAGAAAATGCACTTGACTCCCCATCAGGATAAGACAGCTCTCTTTCCTCTGGGACACAGGGGAGCCTGAAACAAAACACCTAGTTGCTGTTAAGGCAGAAGGTTCAGCCAAGAAATAGTATGAGGGACAACATACTACCCCGAGAGAAGCAGATACTTTGGGGGTGAGGAAGGTTAAAAGTTTACTCTAAAACTTAGTATGGTGATGGTTGCACAAGTCTGCATGTGTGCTAAAAACCATTGCGTGTACACTGAAATGAGTGAATTGTATAGTATGTGGATCATATCTCAACAAAGCTAAAAAGAAAGACATATAGAGCCATGTGACACGTGAGCGTCTCTACCCTACAAAAAAAGCCTGCATTCCAATTTCTGGGTCCTTATTTCCCCTGCTAATATTAAGTGTTTGGGACTCCCCTAAGGTTTCTTGGAGTCCATTCCTGAGTCACAGGGTGGGTGTCACCTGTAGGTGGGATCAAAGGTCAGACCTGGTCGGAGGGGTGGAGGCCTCCCCTGGATGGCTGGCGAGAGGAAGAAGGGACAGTATATGCAGACCAGGCGCATCGGGGTGTATGGCGGAGAAAGGGCCGTGTAGGCTCAGGACTGACACAGGTCCAAAGAAGGACCCTGAATCTCCACAACCCTATGCCCCGTGAGCCAAGGGGCTTGGGAAGAGGGACATAGCAGGTGCCCACGTGGTTACCATGTACTGAAGGCGGTTCCTGTACTGCAGCTTGTCGCGCAGAGACCCGGTGATGGCGCACTCTTTGCTCTGGGTCAAGGGCCACACCTCCAAACCCTGGTTCCCTAAGGCCATGCCAAGGAGGATCCCGAGATCTGTGGACCATGCCCAAGAGGAACACATGAGCAACCCACACCGCTTCACACTGCCCGGTGTGCAAAGCTGTGCACAACTGCCCTCCCTTTTCTTGGCCACCAGTCCTCATGGGAGAGGCGGGAGCAGTGGGGCACAGAGCCCCAGGGAGGCCTTCCCACAACCAGGACAGCGAGGCCAGGCCAGCACGAGCCATCCAGCCCGTCCACTCCTGGCCAGCAGAGCCCCCCAAGAAGCTGCCCCCTGCAGATGGTTTTGTCTCCTCCCTGCTCTTGCTCCTTGAGGAAGACACAAGCTCCCTTCCAGGGCAACCTCAGCCCCTTGTCCAAGGCTAACGGATTTTCAAAGCCTGTTGCTGAATTTCCTGTCTGGGGATTCAGGACGTGTGGATTCTCGTTCCAACTTTACAGATGACTCTTGGGTGACTGAAGCCATTTTCTTCCCTGCTCTGTCTGACCTTGGCAGTTCGATGTACCAGAGGGCCGTAGCCTTCCGTCCAGGGCTCATTCTGGGATGCTAAGCGAACCTCACGCAGCCTATTTCTCCTCCCTGCCGACAAATGAGCTGCCACCTTCCAAATGTTACCAGCCTTCACCACTGGGAGTCGCTATGACTCCAAAAAATAGCCTGTGTGATTTTTCTTAGCCTTCCGAAAAATCTCTGAGAAAATTTGCAACACATACGAACAAGAGATAACTTGATCAGAGCAGAAAGAACAAAATGTAAACGGGCAAGAGACATATCAAAAAGCCAACTACACTGACAAAAATGAAGAAATTTACATTCAAACAATAAGATGCTGTGTTTCACCCATCGAAATGGAAAGTGGGTGGGGGTTTTTTTGTTTTATTTTAATAACATTTAGTGCTGGCAAAATAGGGAGGCAGGTGCTCTCATCCTGGAAAGCAATTTGGCAATTTTTGTGATTAATGGGCTTACTAATGGCCACACCCTTTGACCCGCTAAGCCTTCAAAATGTTCACACCCTTTGACCCATTAAACTCATTTCTAGGAATGAAACTGAAGGAAAACAAAAAAAGAAGCATAATCACAAGACTTATGGACAAAGGTTCCCATTGCAGCATTATGTCATAATAGTGAAAACTTGTAAATGGCTTACATGTTCAATAACAATGAATGCAGCCAATAAAAATCACATTGTCAGAGAGTGCTTTATGGCATGCTTATGTGATAAGAAAAATACTGATGATATGCCTAGGGAAGTTTTGTTGTTGTTTTTTTAAAGATTTTTTTAATTGGGGAATTCGGGGATGGGAACAGTGCTGGGGAATTGGGGGAAGGGGAACAGACTAGTTGCTGTCCTTTTGTTCTTCAGTCTAGTTGTGGAGGATGTTGCTTCACTGGCCCAAGTTGGCACCATCATTGTGCTTTTCCCGGGCGAGGCAGATCAGTCACCGGCTTCTGAATGGCCACTCACGGAGGCTGCTGCCCACTCACTACACATGGTAGCTCATGGCAGCCCATGGCAACCCACTGCCACAGGGGCTACAGCCTACGCCATCGCCAGCGACTCACGGCAGCCCAGCTCCAGGTCGAGCTGTTGTTCAGCATCTTAGCTGTAGAGGGCAGTGTCACTGGCCCTCATGTGGGATCCGAACCGGGGTCCTCTGGCGTCCCAAGCCAGCTCTTAACCAAGGCGCCACTCGGCCGGCCCTAGGGAAGTTTCTTAAAAGTATGACTCAACACTCCATATCTGGGTACATAGCATGACTTGAATTTTGTTAATGACATATGTGTATGCACAGGAAATGTGTGGTAGGGAAAACTACCAAATCTCTATGGGAGAGTTTTACGCTGTTTATATTTCATATTCTACAATCAATATCTATTGTTATAGTCAAAAGCAATCATATTTTTTCTTTTCTTCTCTATTTTTTTCTTTCTTTCTCTTCCCCCCACCCCCAAATCAGTTCGACAGGCTGAGTCACCTCCTTAATCCACCCCTGGTTATAAGTAGGACTTACTGACTGGACTTTCCCCACTCACCTCCCTGGCACTTAGGAAGACTTTTGTTCTTAAACCCTCACTCGCCTTCGCTTCCCCACATCCTTCTCAGTCCTGCCGCCATGCCTGTGCTCCTCCTGGACCCCTCAGGTTTACTCAAGCCCTGGGCCCCATAAGGGCAGAAGCCCAGCAGCCCTTCCTCTCATAGAACTCTGACAACCACATTTTTTGCAAAGTTGCAAATTTGCAACCCATCTTGCACTTCCCATCTCTCTCTCTTTCCATGTACTTGACCCAGTATTTGGACAAAGGAACAGATAAACACAAACTGAGCCAGCTTGCTTTCTGTCTTGTGTCTAAGGCATTCACCCTCTCAGCTTGGCACCCCTGCAGGTCATGATCACCCTTGCCTGGGGTTTTGCTCACACTTTGCCCCTTCCCTGGGAGTTCTCTCACACTGCAGACCTCGTTCAAGGTCTCACCAAGACTCTTTCCCTCCCCAGGGTCTTCCCTGCCTACACTAGCCCCTGTCAATCTGTTTCTAGCACCATCTGTTCAACTCACTCATTATCTTGACCAGACAGCTTAGCCCCTAGTATGTGGATACACGATGCGGCAACCACCACCCGGGCTTGATGACTGAGAACTTTTGGGGTTCACCTCAAGCAGAGGAATGGAAGCATGCATCTGAATCTCCTGGAGAGCTGGGTGGGCCCCACTCCAGAGTGTATGATTCAGTAGGTCTGGGGTGGGGCCAGAGAATTTGCATTTCTAATAAGCACCCAGCTGACGCTGATGCTGGTCTGGGAATCACACTTGAAGAACCATTGGCAGCGGTTCTCAACCCTTTGGGGGTCGAACGACCCTTTCACAGGGGTCGCCTAAGACCATCGGAAAACAAAAAGATATTTACATTACGATTCATAACAGTAGCAAAATTACAGTTATAGAGGAGCAATGAAAATAATTTGATGGTTGGGGGGTCACCACAATATGAGGAACTGTATTAAGGGGTCGCGGCATTAGGAAGGTGGAGAACCACTGGCCTAGAGCGAGTTGCAAACTGGTATTCCAAGGGCCACATCCGGTTCACAAAGGTTTCACATAAATATCTGAATTTATATCTTGTTTTTAAAAATCAGTATCTCTGTCCACATTGGGTCTTCTTTCCCACGTGGCAATCACCACGGGCTGCCCCCGCCCCCACTCCCCCCCCAAGTCTTGCTCCAGCTGCCCTGATCTAGTCCTCGTCCAGAGCCTTCAGGGCCTGGCATCTGAGGGCTCGAAGCAGGGAATGAGTCTTACAGAACCACCATGCCTGCCAGCACGCGTGGGCTGCACCAGGAACTCTGTCCACAGATGATCTGCCTTCCCCCGGACAGACTTTTACCAAGTCTGTTGCCCATTTCCAATTTTAAGCTTCTTTTCTGCTGCCTCCACCCTGACAAACAGGTCAGCAAACAGGTGACTAGGCAGGGACTTGACTGTAGCCTCATGGCCACTCTGTATACCAGGAGCCCCACAGCCAGTGCAAACCTGACCTTGGTTGGGAGGCTCGCCTTGACCCCCCCCTCCCCCCAGGAAGTACAAGGCCTGCAAGACAGAAGAGGAGGCTGAAGAAAAAGCGACGACGTGAGGACGGAGATCCCCTCCTGGTTCCCTGGTGTGGGGGATTGGCCCCCCTCCCTGAGACAGCTGTTTGTGCAGTGATAAATGGGGCTTGTCCACCACCCCCACCCCAGCTTGCATAGGGGGTTGAATAGCACCCCCCAAAATATTCTTATTCACCCAGAACCTCAGATGAAACCTCGTTTGGAAATAGGGTTACTGCATATGTAATTCAGGCCCACCCTTAATCCAATGACTGGTGTCCTTATAAGAAGAGGAGAAGGGGAAAAAAAGAAAGAAAGAAAGAAGAGGAGCGGGCACAGAGGCACAGAGGGAAAGACCATGTGAAGATGGAGGCCGAAGTTGGACTGACGCTGTCACAAGCCAGGGAACTCCAGGAGCCGCTAGAAGCTGGAGGATGCAGTCAGGATCCTCCCCTAGAGCCATCGGAGGGACTATGGCCCTGCCCACACCTTGACTTCAGACTTCTGGCCTCCAGCATTGGGACAGAATCAATTTCTGCTGTTTTAAGCCACCAAGTTTGTGGTAATTTGTTACAGCAACCAATCCTTCTCCAGCACCCCAGCCCCTCTGCAAGCCCCTGGTCTACACCCACTCCCGGTCTCTCACCCTACAGCCAATCCTCGCCAGGTCCTGTGATCTGCCAGCTTTGGCCCCTCTACCGTGCCTTCTCATCCTCACTTCCATCTCCAGAACTCGCCCTCATTACTTCCTGTCTGGAAGGCTGCAGCTCCTGCAAGTATTGGACTTCCCAGAGCAGAGTAGCTCCCAATCACACCCTCAAGTCAGATCGCAAACCTTCCAGGGCTCCCTGTTATCTCATGAATTGGGTGCTCTTCATCCTGGCTTCCAAGGCCTCAGCCGTCTGTGCCCACCCAGCTTTCCAGCTTGGCCCCTCGCTGTCTCTCCCACCTCTGAGCCTCTGCTCATGCTGGTCCCTCTACCTGGAGCACTGTCCTCACCTCCCCATTGGCTACCTGTGTGAACACCACGCACCTTCAAGACCATTCCAAGTGGCACCTCACCCAGGCTGTTCCTCCTACTCCTCATGACTTGGAAGCTTCCAGAATACGGGGTCTGTGTCCTTCCACCCGTTCCAAAGGCCCTGACCCTTTTCAGGATCCCTCCACAAGGGCCAGGCTGGACCCAACTCCTCTGCAAACTCCTCGCAGCATCAAGCTCCGACCTCATCCATTGGGCAGAGTTCCCAGCACCTAACTCCGTGCCGGGCATTGAAGAACAAAGCCCAAGACAGCCCAGGTCCTTGTCAGCATGACAGTAACTCTCCAGTGGGCACGTGGGAGGCACCAGAAAAATGTGTTGAATTTAAGTCAATTAAATTGAATCTCAGAGTCTGATGGGATCTTGGTCTGGCCTCCCACCAGCAGGCTTGAGAGGTTTCTAGGTCCTTTTTTGTTTTTTTTTTCTGTCCTCATTTCAACTTATTTTTATCAACAACGCTGTTCTCTTTTTGCCTTTTCATTTAGTTCTTTAGGGGTAGAAGGAACAGTTTGCCTTCTCCGGGCACCTGGCACCTTCTCACAAGCCCTCACCACTGGCTGGCCACACCCAGGGAAGCCAGAAACCCTCTCTCTGACACCTCTGTCCCCACCCTACTCGCTAGCACTGATGAGTCTGAGAAGGTGGTGCTACACCTACCCCCAGTGCCTGCCCAGTCCCCATAATCACCTGCTAACTGCGCCCACCGAACCTAAGGCTCGTACCTACCATGCCCGCCTGAGCTGGGGTCAGCTGGACACAGGGCAGAGGGCGGGCGTGGGAATTCCTGGAGGCTCCTGCACTAAGCTGGGAAACATCTCAACTTCTCACCAGCAAGAATGGCCCAGTTGCCATGGCTACGGCAGAGCCCGGCTCTGGGCCAAGGCCTCCCTGGGGCGGTCCCCACAGACCCCCCAGTACTCACAGTGGAGCCAGGCGAATCCACGGTGCATGGTGGTGCGCTGGGTCCCCCAGAGAGCAGAGGCGGTGTCCCCGGTGGTGTATCTATCCACAGAGGCCCGAGTAGGGCCTACATGGCCTTGGGTCAGCACAGGTGGCCCAAAGTAGGGAAAGGACTGGCCACAGAGGACGGTCTGGTAAGGGGCAGCAGGTGTTCCTGGGGCAGCACCACCCTTATCTGCCTGGCAGTGAAGAAGGCAGCCGGAAGGCAGCAGCTGTAAGTCCCATGGCAGCCAGGACCCGGCCTGAGACAGCGGCCTCGGGGGTCTTCCCTCCTAAGCAGAAGGAGAGAGTCCCCAGCAGGCCCCTCGGAATCTGGGGCTGGGTTGTGCTTTCTCTGATTTCTCCGTCTGCAGCTGCTCAGTGTGAAATCTGGCTCTGGAAAGAGAAAGGAGGAGAGAAACCAATTATGTAAGAGCAGTGCTGCCACTCAGCCATCAGCTGCAGGCACCGAGAGCCTACTGTGCTGCACCCACTGCCCGGCCGGGACCCCTGGGAAGGGCCAGAGGCATGCAGTCCTGGCAGCTGGCTACTGAGGGACACAGGCTCACATACAAGCAATGACTCAGAACACCCAAAGGGTGGCACCAGCCCAGGAGTGAGTTACGATGACACCGGCTAGCAGCCTGAACAAAAGCAAAACCAAGGAATGAACAGGCCATGTGGGTTAAATCAAGGGAGCTTCCTGAAGGAGGTGAGATTGCAGGTAAATTATGTGAAGGACTCGGGCTACAGGGAGGTTAAAAGGGCAGACGGTTCACCCTTCCACTCACCTTCAGGCTTAGCCTCCTGCTCCTATTACCCCAAATCTGCATTCCCACTTAATAAGGTTGCCAGGTGAAATACCAGGTACCCAGTTAAATTTGAATTTCAGAAGAACACATATTTTTTAATATAATTATGGCATGAATACTTTTTAGTATAAGTATGTCTCAAACTTTGCATGGGATATACTTATGCTAAAAAAAATTTCATTGTTTATGAGCAAGTCCAAATTAAGTGGGAGTCCTGTATTTATTTTTATTTGCTAAATTTAGCAACCCTATGATAATGATGGGATAGCTCTTCCTGAGTGCTTACTACATGCTAGGCCCAGGGTTAAGGCCTTTATATTCTCTGAATCCTCACAACAATCTTATGGGGCCCTAAATATCTCACTTTATCAATGAAGCAATCAGGGCCCAGAAAGGTTAAGACACTTATCCAAGGTCACACAGAATGTAAGAAGTGCAACAAGAATTCAAACCCAGACTGCTGGTGGCCACTCCTTCAGGGCAATACCCACTTGTGTTAGGAAGCCCTTACTAACAGGGCACGAAGGTCAGTGATCTCGTATGGTCATCTCATCTATCCCTCACTGGACTCCATGATGTATGGGCTGTTGTCCCCATTTTGCAGAAGAGGAAGCTGAGGCTCTAAGAGGCTGAGTTGGCCAGCAACAGAGCCAGCTCTGAAACTCAGTCTCTCACTTGGTTCTGTTCCATGCCCTTGTTCTCTCCCTGTTTCCCTCTAGTCAGGGAAATGGCCACAGGTTGATGGCATGAGGGGAAAGTAGGTAGGACTTGGGGNCTCCCATTCTCTGAGAAAAGCCAGACTCAAAGCCATCTGAACAATTTTATTAAGTGAGACCCACTCCTGGGTCCGCAGACCAAACGCTTGCAGCAGGCAGTACGTTTCCGACAGGTACCGCATATATGTGATCAGTGTCACCGCATTTGGGAGGCTTGGCGCCCACATCAGATGCCTGGAGTGTTGTTGTCTTAGTTAAAACAAAACATGAAAACCTGCCCAGTGCAACAAATGAGAGAAGCATCAAACAGGCAGATGCCTACCTCAGCATTTCCTAACTTAGAGCCAGGTGTCTAGCACAATTATTCAGGCCATATCTACATATACGGAGATCTATTTCTCCATATTCGCTCACCTTTTTACTTAAATTTATTTGTAAAGAAAACTTTATAACACTTTCATTAAGCGACAAACAGCTCTCACTTGCCAAAATGAGAAGGTGACATCAAGAAATGCTAAATAACGTAAATAAATTCTAGTGAGAAAGCTTGGCCTGCTGAAGGCTCTGACCTAGGGATCCACTCTTTTTTTTAGAAAAAGAAGATTGGCAAGGGTTAGAGAGGTGTTAAAATATATTAGCACCAGGCTGTCTTTCTCCTAGAGCAGTTCTCAGCCGGGAGGTGGATTTTGTTCCCTGGGTGATGTTTGGCAACGCCTAGACATATTTCTGTCTGTCACAACTGGGGGTGGAGATGCTACTGGCATTTAGTGGGTGGGGGCCAGAGATGCTGTAAACATTCTATCATGCGCGGGGCACCCCCGCACCCACCAACAAAGTGTTTTGGCCCCAAATATCAACAGTGCTGACGCTGAGAAACTATGTTTTAGAGAAGTAAGAAGGGTTGAAAACGAACCGAAAAATAATTTCCACACTCTGGGATTCAATGTTTTTAATGCAGGATCCAGGTACCACGTAACACCACCCAACATTAACCAGGGGTACACAACCCACACTTAAGAGAAAACTGTCTAAGTAACAAGATGTCATGGAACCAAGGATGACACCAGCCACAGGTGCTCAAAGAATGTTATCTGAACGCTGAATCTCAGAGAAGTCCATAGGTCCAGTGGCAATATTAGTCACTAGATGCCATTTTTACAGTTAACATTTATGTGTCTACCAAGTCTGGGCACTGTGCTGGGAACTAGTAAGTTGTGATTCCAGGGAGAGGAACACAGGCCAGTGGGAGAGACAAGGAGATAAATGAGTAGAAAACAGTATCATGGGAAAGAGTGTGTAGCTAAAGGGAAGATGAGAAACCACCAAACAGAGACCAGGGGGTAAGCTGGGGGAGTCAGAAGGCAGAAACGGTTTTCCAGGGGCGGCAATGATTTCAGTGCTTAATCCTCCCAAGGAGCTCCCTCTGATTGGAAGCAGGGCTAATTCAAAAGCAATGCATGGGGGCAGCCGGTTAGCTCAGGTGGTTAGAGCGCAGTGCCCATAACACCAAGGCTGCTGGTTCAATCCCCACATGGGCCAAGGAGCTGCGCCCTCCACAACTAGATTGAAAACAATGGCTTGACTTGGAGCTGATGGGCTCTGGAAAACCACAGTGTTCCCAAATCAAATTAAAGAAAAGAAAAAGCAATGCATGGCTTCTGGCAGAGTGCATGGATCTAAACCCCTTTAACACTAATTTGTACTATGGATAAAGATCTATAACTATACCCAAAAATAATTTTAAAATAAGAAAAGCTGTACACCTAAAGTATCCATTGCATTACTATTTACACTTGAGGAAAGCAAACTTGAAACAACCTAAATGCCAAACCACAGGAAAGCAGTTAGCATAATCTGAGAACTAATTGTTATTTACTAAGGATTGACCATGTGCCAACAAGTTTACAATCAGTGTAACAAAATGATTATATCTTTTCTCCTTGCAGCAACTGTGAGNAGCCTACGCCGTCGCCGGCGACTCACAGCAGCCCAGCTCCAGGTCGAGCTGTTGTTCAGCATCTTAGCTGTAGAGGACAGTGTCACTGGCCCTCATATGGGATCTGAACCGGGGCCCTGCTGCTCAGAGCTGGTGTCCCAAGCCAGCTCTTAACCAACGTGCCACTCAGCCGGCCCTCTTAAGACTTTTTAATATATAATAATTTACTCTCCATTTTTGCTGTTGTTGAAAAAACTGGGTCACTTGTCCTGCAGACTCCCCACATTCTGGATTTGGCTGATTACATCTTTGGAATATCACTTAACATATTTATCTCTGTATTTCAAATATTCAGATTGAGAAGCTTCACTGGGCTCAAGTATAATTTTCCTAGGAGGTATTGCGTTACATCAGGAGGCACAGGAAGTCTGCTTGTCCCACTTTAGTGAGATAACGTCATGTTCTTTCTTCTGGATCCATCCATTATAAAGTTCTCCATCAACTTCACCTTTCATCAGACACAGATGATTATAGCCTTGGTCCAGTATTTCATTAGGTGGTGACTTTCTAACTCGATCAATTCTTCTATAAAGTAGAACTTTCCTTGTTCGTCTATTTTCTTATCTTAAAGTTTGGTCTGTGAAGAAAAAGCAAGCTACAAGTTTGATTCTTTCCCTTTACTTACCAGCTTTCAGCATGAGTTGTTCCCTCTAAAGGTAATGAATGATGTTTTTTTAGTTTATTTTGAATTCATTAATTTTTTAATTTTTGTATTTCAATTCATTGAAGTTACTTTTAAGTCAGGTTTATTAAGATATAATTGGCATACATTAAGGTTCATCTTCTTTCAGTGTACAGTTTGATGAGTTTCACCAAATATACACACTAACACCTTATTCAAGATATAGAATATTTCTGTCACCCTAAAAAGTTCCCTTGTGTCCCTTTGCAGTCAATCCACTTCCCCACTCCACACTTCTGGCAATCGCTTATCTAATTTATTTTCCCAGATATTTTTTTTCCAGAATATTATACAAACAGAATCATAATAGTATATTGCCATTTCTGTCCTGTCTTCTTTCACTTAGCAAATGCTTGGGATCCATCCATGTTGCTGAGTGTATCGGTAATCTGTTCCTTTTATTACTGAGTAGTATTTCATTGTACCAGGTTTTGGCAACTATCAATAAAGCTGCCACATACACTTGAATACAGGTCTTTCTGGGGACATACGTTTTTATTTCTTTTAGGTACATACGTAGGAGTAAGCCCCTGGGTCATATGATAGCTGGAGATTTATTAATAAGAAATTGCAAGGGTGACCGGTTAGCTCAGTTGATTAGAGTATGGTGCTGATCACATCAAGGTTGCAGGTTCGATCCCCACATAGGCGACTATGAGCTGTGCCCTCCCTAAAAGAGTCAACTATGCCATTGTAGCATGAAAACAATGTGTAACCAATGACCATGGCTGTTCCCCAATAAAAAAAATTTTTTTTAGTTAATAATAATAACAAAGAAATTGCCAAGCTGTTTTTCAAAGTGGCTGTTTGTTATTCTTTTTGATATTCAAATTATGTCATCATTTGTCTAGTAAGAGGTCCTTCCAGTAGGTTCCTGTCCTATTGACATGACTCCACTCATCTTCAATAGCTTCCTTGTTTTCAGGCATGACTGGAGGTTCCAGCTCATCTTGTACATTTTCTGCCTCAGACTCAAAATCAGCTACTTTTCCAAGGAACCCTTTTAGTGAGAAATGGTACTTAGAAACCACAGCCTGGGGCCGGCTGAGTGGCACACTGGTTAAGAGCTGGCTTGGGACACCAGCTCTGAGCAGCAGGGCCCCAGTTCGGACCCCACATGAGGGCCAGTGACACTGCCCTCTGCAGCTAAGATGCTGAGCAACAGCTCGATCTGGAGCTGGGCTGCCATG